GGGGAAGGGGTAGGGGGTTGGGTGACGGTGGCCTGCCAGATTATTAAAAGGGGTAATCGAGAACCCGAACGTTGAGAACCACAGGCTCTACGAGATAAAAATGTGATATATATGAAGGAGTGTATAGATCAATTGCCGTGTGTACAGATATCGCGTATAATGAAAATTCGAAAGATATGCAACCTGTTTCTGATAAGTACCAAATCGTTACGAAATGACTGGATTCGGCGACTCAATGAAGATGACGAACGAGAGAATGTAGTGGCACGGGTCGATGACACTGACGTGGTACTGTCGGCATAGTGAGATATTGATGGCCATTCGAAAGCTTGATCAACTTCCAGTTCGTCTCGTGTCACCCTTGAACCACCACTTAATTACTACTTGACCAATTGTTGGAATTTCCAGAAAGATTAAATTTTTAAAAAAATGAATCAACGCGACAACACAATGAAATATTCAAAACGAACTTGTCAATTTGCGCATTCGAACAACCGTGCATCGCAGAGTAGGTGGGATATTTAGGGTCCTGAAATAAAAATTCTGGTAAGCCCCTTGATATCTTGAAAATTAAGGATAATTTGGAAAAATCTGCTAAAATATTTTTCAGAAAAATATTCTTAATGAGATCAGAAAGTGTTCTTTAAGAAAAAGGCATAACTAATTGTGAGATTGTAAAATAATCAACTGATGGATCAATTGAGAAGATACGTTTTCTAGGTTTGATGCTTGATTGTTTTTTGGACATACAGTGAGAATTTCGTTGGAGATACCTGGAGTGAATAGAAAAACGTCGAATTTCCAGTGAAAAATTCTCCATTCTCAACGAAACCGAGTTCAATCGCGTCAACACGTGGCTGTTTATTCACAACCACCGTATTGCAGATCGCCATTGTTATGAAAAAGTCCAGAAGCTCCTGAAATTCATACGGACATTGATCACGCTTTTGAGTGCTTTCATATCGTTCACAAATGAATCGAAATATCACATTTATTGGTTTAAAAAATAATAATAACAATGATGTTTAGATAAAATGATCAGCAATAGGGCAAGTCTAAATGATTAAACGAACCGAATCACTATGCCATTGCAACTCGACCAATTTTTTCAAGCGTGGATCAACTAAGACGTTTTTAACATCGAGCACATTAAGATTGCCTTCCAACCCATAGTCCACACCACCGATCGCACATCGACGAAATATCATTTGATTTTCTTAAATATTTCTATTTTCATCATCAGTATCTTTGGTATTATCGTATTCGTTTAAGTCGTTATTGCTGATGTTTTGATTACTACAATCCGAGTAAACTGGATTTAATGGAGATAAATCCATTGGAATGAGCGATTTCGGATCTTTTTCATGACTATTCTGAGGAATTGATCATATAGACTGATTTGGTCAATAGATCAATATAGACTGATCTGATTCGGGATAATATTTGCATGAAGGAAGACCTTATNCTACAATCCGAGTAAACTGGATTTAATGGAGATAAATCCATTGAAATGAGCGATGTCGGATCTTTTTCTTAATTATTCTGAGGAATTGATCATACAGACTGATTTGGTCAACAGATCAATATAGACTGATTTGATTTGGGATAATATTTGCACGAAGGAAGACCGTATTAATCAGTAACAAAGATTTTATCATTGTCATGATCAATTTATTTGAATAAATCACCGACCAACCTGTTAGAGTACCAGTCTTATCAGAAAGGACATACTGTATCTGTCCCAACTCCTCGGGAATATTCAATGATCTACATTCCATACGTCTGTCGTTCTTCTCGTAATATAAATTCACATCAGTTGATATGAAATAGATTTGGCCCAACTTGACCAACTCAACTGAGATATATAGCGATAATGGGATCAGGATCTGAATTTGATAATCATACTTGTTAAATACGTTTGATAGAATGGCTAATCCACGTAATGGATATATGTCACTGCTTTGAACAGAATAATTGAGCAAAACAATGATGATATTGCGAAAAAAAGATGAAAACTGAACCTGATAATTCAGAATCGATGAAATCATATTGACCATTCCATCGGTAACAGGTGACTTGGTATTCAGAATAATGAAAATAATCGAATCTGTATTCGGTGCAAATGAAAATAACCATAGCATAGTGCCAATTCCAGCGAATAAACACATTACTACCAATATCCCAATACAATACAATATGAAGCGATTTGTCACCAGCTCCAGTGAGCTTCGTTTATAACGTATTCCCGAATTGTTCATCATCGCTTTCGTGTCTTTTCCTGAAATTACGCTAGTTTCCTCTGAGGCTAATTTTGGTGTGAGTAATTCGATAAGTGGGGATAATTTGGATAATAGAATTGAGTGATGAGTATTGGGTAATTTTTGGAAGTGATAATTCTTCTGTGAGTGTTTGAATTGATTCCATTGAGATTCAGTTTTCTGCAGATTTACAATTCGTGGCATTCTTGTAAGAGTTAATCATATAGTATTGCATTAATTATCGTTATTTGGAGTGTTATCACGTTTGCGTTATCAATATTGCTGCTGCTGTAGGAGAGTAGTGATGTTGTCGTCAGCATCACGAGTATTTTCTCATTCTTTATCAGTTCTTATCATTCGCTATTATCAAGTGCTCAATAGAAATGTTGAAGTGAACCTGCCTGCGTAAAGGACAATCCCTTCAACGAACGTCGTGTTTCTCAGTTTACACCCTCTCAGCAACATATTCTCAGCATAGATACCATCCATATGTCCGTCCTCATAGGTAATATGTCCATTCATTTGGTGTATTAAATTATTCGGTTTTTCACATTTTATCCTCGCCTGTAGTTGAGGTGGTTGGAATTGACTATCTTCCTGAAGTGAATCAGATTATGCAAACTTATCAGAGAGAGAGAGAGAGAGAGGAATCTGCAGATGTGCTTCCTCGAATAGAAATATTTTAGAAGGATTCAGGATATGCCAAGAAAATCTCTAAAGAAATTCCGAGTTTTTGACTATCTTGTCCAATTTTTGGTCTGAACTGCGAATGACAACAAATAATATATTCTGCTTTTTATTGAGAAACACAATAAAAAAAAGCACATCAGTGATAATATTTGGGACCCTTATGAGTCCTGCTGAGTTCAGGCATCGATCGATGTTAGACTCGGCTCAGAAAATGTTAGAATTACCCCTGAGAACGATGCGATCGAGTTTGGAACTCGACGTTGCTTTAGACTGGTCTCACCATCCAAATTCGACGTCTCCACGAAGCAAATACCATTCGAATCCGATGATCTTATCAGCAATATATCAGCCGGTATCACGTCGTCCAGTGATAAATGCACATAATCACCAACTATAACGTATCGCCATTGCATCTTCCGGAATCGGCTTTTATCGCTGTAACTTTTCATACTATCACATCAATAGCAACTCGATTTTTACCGTGATCAAGGCAAAAATTCTGAAATGTCGATTGTTGGTTATCTCAGATCAGTGGTTTTCGATGCCAGATCAAAGCAGAGATGATCCTATGGATGAGGGCTCTCTAAAGAACTTCTAATCTGTTACTTACGTTGTTCCTGAGCCAATAGATCAGGATTGTAAAACCTCTGATTTTCGATCGTATGGGGTTTGTTCATATGAGAAGTTTTTATGGAAGTTTCCGCCGGAAGCATAAGATTTTTTTATTTTTCCATTTTTCCTTCTTTTTCTTTCATTTTTATTCTTTCTCTTGCCGATCAATCAATCCAGCGCAATGAGCTGCCCACATAAAAATCAAAATCATGACACTCCAAACTTTGATTCACTTACTTATCCCAAACATGGCAATAACTCGAATTGATTTGATTATCCAAGCGTCGTCTTCGAAAATCTTCGAAGGCATCCTGAAATTTGACACTACATAAGGTACTCAGTTGAATTCCTCTTTGAGATGTTATGATGTTTTCGAATTTGTTCTGATTCCTCGTCTCTGTGGCCAAATAGACTGATTTACAAGCGATTAAAGTCGGCAATTCTCGTGAGATTATTAATTTCATTCCCACTTTAGTTGAAGATTCCGAAAATAACTCGTTGTCAGCAAAAGGAATGCAATTGCTACCTAACATTGCTATCATATGAAACGTTATCAGACGAATTTTTACTGATATGGAATTTTTTCACAGCCCACTTAACAATTTTGAGTGGATTTTTTTTTGTTGATTTTTAATTAGTTCGATGACATCGTCTGAAGATTCATAAGAATGATAATTGATCGCTATGTGAAATGGTTTTGATCAAATGATTTTATAGCATCATTTGAATCAAAGGAGTGGGAATCTTATCATAAGATTTCCATCATTTGCCATTTTCATGCAAAAAACTTTCTTCCTTATGATGGAATTTAATGAAGACATAAAAATATTTTTAAAGATGTAAACACAAAATTTGT